GGATCTAGGTAGTGATTAAATCTAAGAGGCTGGACACTGGAATAATATCCTATAAAACACGATGCACAGTATTAGGGCACAGGATCTAAACATTTGACCTAGCACAGGAATCCCTAAATCTGAAAACAAGACAGTCCTTCAAGCATGCTCCCACCTTGACTCATGACAACTCAAAGGAAAATGCAAGGGCTCACCACCACCTTCCACTGATGCACATGCCAGCCCAGAACATGACCACATCTCACCTGTACGGCCTGTCGCTCATAGAGAGACATCTGCGATATTTGAGGACGGGTGCTTCCTCCAGAACTGGAGCTCCCACTGGTGGAGCTGGAGTTCTGCTCACTTTCAGTCTCCATAGTGACAGAATCCCAGGAGCTTGGGACGAGACAGATCCAGATCTACATCAAGAGAATTGGAAACTAATTCAGGCTAGAGAAAGAAACAAACCATATTTCACTGAATTACACAGCTTTTTAACTGGAATATCCCAGTACCGGGCTCCTTGCACAGCTTTGCTACATCACAGGGCATGGGAGATGCCAGAGTTCTGAAATCACCCAGAAATTATACTCAGTTTAAATCTTTTATTACTGCAGTCACAAACAGAACACACATATTCTCATATTTTTATTGCCACACTACAGTTGGAAGCTGCAGCATTCTGAATTCTTAAAAAGGCAGCAAAGTGAAGGAGCAGCTGCAGCTCATTCAGACAATCATTTGGCTGCAGACCTGATTGCCTCTCCTTCAAGAGGCCAGTTAACTGAGGCCAATTGCTTCCAGTCTCCCACTACACTTCAGCAACTTCTGATCCTCTCTTCCTCCAGCCCCAAAGAGGCATAATTATCCCAGAACTCTACTGCCCTACTCCACATATACTGACTCAGTCCCTCCTTCTTCCAGTTTAACCCCCAGCCCTGGACCACTTCTTTATTTCTCTGATCACACAGACTTTCCAGCTACCTGTTGTTCTTGACAGATTGTAACTTGAGTATTAGACTGGAAGCTGGTATCTGTGATGGCAAGTTGCTTTCAGGAGAAACGGAGTCAGAAGCAGAGTGGATGAAGGGTTTACTGGCAACGCTTGTGAGGGGAAAGCTGCTAAAGACATCATACAGAGCCAGAGACCTTTCAGTAGCAGCAAAATGCACTGCAGTGAACCGTAGGACTGAGAAGGGACTGGAGAAGGCTTTCATCAGCTAAGAGAAAGAAAAGCGAGACTTAGCAAGTGACACCTTGGGGTGATCAGGGAGTTTTCTGCAACAAGAAACATAAGACTATACAGGGAGTAATAGTAGAAGGAGAGTCAGAAAAGTGTAACAGTGGCTATTCAACAGAATTCCACTGAAAAAAAGTGACTTTTTAGAAGGATATAATTCCATGTAAGATTAAAAAAAAGAAAAAAAAGAAGGAAAAAAAAGGCTTCTGATAGTCTCAGTATCACTGACAGCCTATTTGTTTCCAAAAACCTGCTGGCTCCCCGTGATGTATCTGAGAGACCTCTAAATGACACCCTCTAAATGAGCTTCCAGAATCCGACATCACAAACACAGCCTCTTTATCTAAGACCTTTTCAAGCCCAGAGATTCTGAATTTCACAGCCTTCCCTAAGCACAACTTTTTCCAGGTGCACAAGCAAACAGATCAGTACAGCAGAAAAGGAGGAACAACAGTAGTCTCAACCAGACAAGTTTTTAAATTCTGGAATGTTAAGGGCAGCAGATGACTTTACAGTAGGACAGTTCTACAGTTCCCTGATTTTGTCAGCTTTCCTCTGCAGAGTAAATGCTTTCCAAACTTGCTCCTCAAAATCTGGAACATTCTATCACTGACAAGCAGATACCTGCTGCTCCAGTCCTGTTTTCCGCATGCATCTTTACCTAAGACCTCAAGTCCAGCAGGCATCTCCCTGCTAATCCAACACTGGCTTCCTGCACTGCTTCAGCAGTGGCCATGGGTAATTCTGCCCTGCAGTCATCATCTCAGCTGAGACACATGCCCTCCTAACTGGCCACTGCTGTCTTCAGGCACACAATATTAGAGCTGGACATAAAGCTCTGGAGAAGACAATTGCCTTAGAGATTTTCCTCAGGGGGCAGCACCACAAAAAGTAAATGAAGCCTGAAAATATAAAGGAGGGAAAGAATACAGACTTTCTGAAAGAAAGAAACGGTGATAGATAAATGAAGTACTTCAAATGGGGTTAAAATGCAAGTCACATTGAAGCTACGTACACTGCAGCAAGTGATCTCATAGCTCAGTTACCATTAGGAGACGATTTCTGTTCCCTTGGCCATGCTCAACCTCCCTGTGCAGGTCCCTCCCAGCATTTACCTCATTGCTGGTGCTCACTAGGTCAACTTGTTAACTTCGCAGAAAACCTACTCTAAACATCAGTTCCTGCCAGATCAGTTGAATTAGTTTACTTGTGATGCTACAAGTGCCAGTGAGAGAGAAGAGAAGGTAACTAAGAAGGTTCAGCTTAGCTGTAACACATACCCCCACCCTCAACAGTTGCATCTGAAGGCAAAACCTAAGTTCTGACTCGGTGCTCTGCTCCAATCTGTGTTTCCTCAGTAAACAGCACCATTGAGTGTTAAGATTAACAGCAAATTTGAGAGTTCCACGTTGATCTAGATTTTAAAATCAGGTCCAAGCACAAAGAAAATCCTACTGAAACATCTTCTGGGATGAAAGGCATCAAAAAAATTTGGTTTCTGTGTAGGCAGAGCAGCTCCATCTAAGTGCAATGCGATCCAAACACAGGCTATTCCCACACAAAATAGCAAGGATTAAACCCTCCCCCCTCCTCCAAGTGCATCTTCCAGCACCCTCTCCTGAAAAAAACTAGTGATCACTGCTATCAGATCAGTTGACTGAGATAGCTGCTCCTCAAGCTGGATAACCTACTAAAAATGATTAAACCGTGGGTTTTCCAAACTATTTTGAGTTAAACAACTCACCTTGAAAATGTAATAAGCAGTAGTGAACCTAAAAAAAAAAAAAAAAAGACAAAACCGAACAAACCCAACAATATAAAAACCCCACATAATAACAACAGGACCATTACTGGAAATTAACCTTTGAACAAATGCTAGAACTGCACCCCTGTTAGGCAGACAAGGAAGGATACAAAGGCCTATTAAGACCATGGCAGGAATAACATGGGAATCGGCAGGGAAGACCACAGGAGAAAGAATGGGAAGGAGAAGGGAGAAAAGTAGCTCCGGGAGCCGTACAAGCATAAGAACATGGGCCAGTCCAGAGCCTAACCCTCAGTGCTGGCCTCAGCACACACCACGGGCTGTCCATCTACAAGTTATCACCTCTCTCAAATGCAAGAGCAGAAGAGCCAGGCCCAGCACCTACTCCAGTCACTGAACACTAATGTAGGAGGTAGAAAAGTTTCACTCGCTCACCCCATCTATTCCCCCTGGCCTGTAACTGCTGCCTGCAGGACATCTTCTAACCTTGTAACTGGTTTTGTTGCTTCATCCTTAAGAAGGTAAGTTCGGGAACAAGCAGCATCTGCACAGGTTTGTCCACAGGTTTTGGGGAACAAAATTAGCAACCAGGAGTCTATAGTACACTTCTTACTGTTGTTTTCTACAACACAGTCCCCAAACTACGCAAGTAAAAGCGTGAAACTGCCGGGACACGCCAACTCTGCTCTGGGATGCTCTGGAAGCAAGCGGCACTCGCTGCGACTCCCGTGCACCGCGGGACCTGCTCCTCACCCGGTGTACGGCGCCCTGCCATCCGCCTTTCGCCGCCGAGCGCCCCAGGCACCCAGGAGCAAGGTGAGGAGGGACGGGACACAGACACGAGGGTCAGCGCGGGGGTAGCATCCCAGGCCGCCGGCAACTCCGGCGGCAAAGTTAAGCCGACAGCGAGCGTGCAGGCGCCCTGTCCGCCACACGTATGTGCCTTGCACGCAGCCCGCCGCGGCGGGAGGCGGGGAACCGCCGCAGGATGCCCGCCGCGGGGAGCCAAAGAAAGGCGCGTGTTTGACGCCCGACCACCGTCAGGGGGAGCGGCGGCTGCCCGGGAGGCGAGAGCGGGGCTACGAAAGGGAGCTGCTCCCGGCCGCAGCTCGCGGGGCCGGCCCGCGTTAGACAATGGCTGCTCCACCGCCGCTGTCAACTTCCAGCCCCCCCCCGGCCCCGAGGGGAACTCTCCCCACCGCGCCCCGAGCCCGGCCTCACCTGCAGTAGCAGCAGCAGCAGCAGCCACAACCACCACCACGGCCACGGCACTGCCCCGCTCCGCTCCGCACCGCTCCCGCACCACCGGCACCGGGCACCGCCCCCCGCCCCAGGGACCCGCGCTGCCGGCGCTACCGGAGCCGCGGGGCCGCCGCCGGACACGCCCCCCGCGCGCGGGCAGCAGGCCGGGCCCCGGCGGGGCGGGGCGGGGCGGTGCCCGGGGGGCCCCGGTGGTGGGGAGGGCGGGGCCGAGGGCGTTACCTCTCGGCGGTCCCAGGCGGGCCTGGCCCGGCCGCGGCCTGGCAGGGTCAGCCCTGGGCGGGGAGAGGGCCTGGTGCGGCCGCGTGGGGAGAAAACAGTGTCCGCCCCTCCCCCCCCTTTTATTGCTTTTGTTTTTGCCTTTTTTCCTTTTTTTTTCCTCTTTTTTCTTTTTAAACCTCGGCCTCCGGGGCTCCCGCCGTTCCGTCACTTCCTCCCTCGAGGCGCTTCCGGACACGTGATCCCTTCCCCGGGCGCCGCTTGCCGTTGCCCTGGTGACGGCAGCCGGTGGAGAGGCAGAGGGTATTGCTGGAGGACCGTGGGTTCAAGTCCCGCCGGGACGGGGCATGGGTAGGGGCCGGGGCCTTGCCTGGGACCGAGGCCCGCCCCGCTCCCCCGCCTATCCCTGCCGGGGATCGGGGTCGGTAGCTCGGCAGCGGCCTCCTGCCGCGCATGCAGGGCAACGGGAGAAAGGCATGAGGATGGAATTCGAGAACTATCTCGGTTGGAAAAGAGCTTTAAGGTCATCAAGTCTAACTGTTCCCCAGCATTGCCAAGGCCACCACTAAACCATACCTCTGAGGGCCTCATGTACATGGTTTGTGAACACTTCCAGCAACGGTGACTCCACCACTGCCCTGGGCAGGCTGTCCCAGTACCTGACCACCCCTCGATGAAGAAATGTTTCCTGATAATCATGGCAATCCTGCGATGTGATAATTCTCACAGCCTGGCTGTACAGCCAGTGCAGAGCAGCTGTCCTCTGCTGGGACATCCTCTGCCATCAGGACTTCTGGTTAGCCTCATTAAATGTTAGTAGTTTCCTGTAGGCTGTAAAATGCTTTCTGGGTACCTGGGACAAGCTTTGCTAGACACAGTGGTAGTAACGGTGCCTGAGAGGTTTTCTGTCCAGGTCACGTAGAGCACATGCAGAGGTGCACATTGGAAACCTGTGTAAACAGGGTGAAGAAACCGCAGTGCTGGAGCTTGTTGACTTTTGGAAGAGAAGCTGCACTGTGCAGGCACCTGGGCCTTGCTTCCCTTGATTACTCTGTAAAACAAATTTCACCAAGCACTCTTACCCTAAGCTGGGCAACTGACAGAAGAACTGATGCTTTTTGAGAGTTTTTATTGTTATTTTTTAACAATAGTGTTGTTAAAACACTATTGTCAGCACAACTGTTTCTAAGAAAACAATACCCCACTGGGTCGGAGCAGTGGCTCAGCTTGATGAGGGCTGGTGAGTTTCCTTTAAAGATGACAGCTCAAGTACCAAGGGTGAGTGGGAAAGAGCAAAAGGCAAGCAGAAACAAAATCATGCTCCATGTATGTATACAAGGTGCAGAAGCTCAAACATTGCTGAGTCTATGAGCATCATAACTGCTACTGCAAATGATATGTTTGAGCTTCATGTGGCAATAACATTGTGTCTGGCTCAGTAATTAAAGTGCTGGACTATCCATGCACAGAAGATCCAGTCCCATTGACTTAGAATCACGGGATAACATTTGCTGCTGTCTGAACTACTGTAGAGGTTTTGGACTGTTACTGGCTCTAAATTCTGGGATTCTTTTTTAATTCAGGTGGAAAACTGGATGATTTTCATACCAAAAAAATAAAAGCTATAGAAGATACTTAAGGCTATTCAAAATAAAAGGCCAGATAGTGATTAAAGGAACAATTACAAAGCAGGGAGCCCAGCCAATGTAACCCCTGTGAATCAACCACTTCTAAAAGCCTCAACGACTGGACCAACGACTAAGCCATTTGTCCCTGTTGTAAAACCCAATGAAGGCAATTCAAGGGAGGAAACTCTGGAATCTATGCAAAGGAGAGGAACTACTGTAGTAAAGAGGCTTTAAGACTTACGGGGGAGGGGGGGGGAGGCCTTCAGGGTGGGGGTGGAGGGTGGAGAGATGTTGGAATCGATAGAATCTGAGGATTTAGAAGACTACACTGGTTTGTTTGGGGTGAGAATCACAGGCAGGAAAATGGAGGGATCAAGGTGGATCAGAGGCAAACAAATGTGGGCAACTGGAGATACGAAACAAAATAAGAAGCTCCCACTCATCTCCGTGGGCCCAGGAAGGAAGGAAGGCAGGCTCTGGATTTTTCAGTCCACCAGATATGGATGCCTTTAATACTTCTCAGGCAGAACAAGAGCATCGGGCCAGTACCTACAGTCCATTCCCCTTGTCCTACTCCCACATCCAAGCATGGCAGTAAGGATGGTGGAGACATGATCACAACTTATTTCCTTTGGTATAGGCTGGTTTTTCATTAGTTTGTCTATGAGCTTTCTGAACCTGCTGGTATTATTGGCTCCCATAACTCCTGTAGCAGCAGGTTCTTATAGTGTAAAATACCTTTTTTATGTGTTTTAAAACATGCCCCCAGTCTGCCATGGAAAGATTTCCATTCACTTTATGCATCACCTTCATTATTTTTGTAAATCTCAGTCCCTCACCAAATTCCATTCATTCTGCTCACCAAATCGTGGAATCCCGGCCCTTTTAGTGTTTCCTTATGAAGCACTTTTCCATCCCATAATTGTTGTCACTTGAGGTTCCTGCTATAATTTGTGAGTCTGACTTATAGGGTCTGGTTGAAATCCTGTCAAGGGCTATGCCTAAATATAAGCCAGGAATCATTCCATAGGTAGTACTGCTTACTCGCATTTTAGGTGCAGATCTCAGCAAGAAGCAGCTCATTTTCATTCCAATTATATTTTTTCCTTTCCAACCTATTTCAACAAAGGGGTTTTGCTGGAGAAACGGCATCTTGAGAGCAGCCCACGGAGCGATGGTGACACTCAGTGGCCCTGCAGGAAAAGTGCACGTTCTGGGTTTACGGTTTTTCTAATTTAACAGGAGGAAGACGCTGGTACCAAATGAAACTCATACACGTGTGAGTAAACATCACGGCTTAGCACAGCTGCATCCGGTGCATTACAGATTCATATAGTACAAGCACATAAAAACATCTAGCCTGACGTGTCTGCATTTGCCTTTTTTCTACACCATGGAGGTCCAAGGGGAACAGAAATCTGATTCAGACTGACCTTCAAGCCTGGGATGTCTTCCTGTTCAGAGAACAGCATGACATTATTCCCAGTTTACTGGGACATGTAAGTGCAATTTATCCCACTTACTGCAATAACTGCAGTGTACTTCTTACAGGCTGCCCAGATTTCTTTTGATATACACCTTCCACCGCATAGACACCAGCCCACCCACAGCCTCACCACATCACTGAATCTCTTCAACAACCTCCTGCTAGCCATGGCCTGTCTGGCCGATCACCATCTCCAGAAGGAAGAAGACGGGCAGGAGATGGTCACAGCATCCCTAGTGTCTAGTTGCCATTCTGTCCCGTCTCTGGGCAAAAGTTTGACTCTGCCAGTTCCCAAGTCCTCTGACTGCTGCAGCCTCGCATTTCAGACAGGTCTTTACATACCACTACCTCTCCCACGTCCCTGCTCTACATGATATTTCATTCACAACTGATCTTAGTGTGAATCTGTGCTTCCTATCATTACAAGGCTTCTCCAAGTTTGCAAGCTGAGAAAGTAGAGAGGCTGCAACCATGTGTCTCCTCATCTTTGTTTTCTATCCCTCACAAAAAAAGCAACAGGTCAATGCATGCCAAACTACCTTTCTGCTCCCTGCCGGGAATGGGAAATTGGACACAGAATGGGAAGACCCAAATGCTTTGTCTGTGAGGAGCCTGCTCCAGGAGTCAGTTGCCTGAAGTACCCTGAAGGCACCTTTCTCCTCAACACCACCTTTAAGATGTGAACTGCATATGAAAGGAAAATCAAGTCAACAAGCAGAAGCTGATACCTATCAGTCTACTTGTAAATGTTACTGGGCCTGGTGATCAAGACAGTATCAAGTATATTGTTTGTCAACATAAGAAAGAGTGTGCGGATAAGCCCAATGTGTGGCAAACTGTACAACACAAGAAGTTACAAGTTTTAGACTTTTCTAAGGAAAGAAGCCTCTTTGAATGTCAAAGGTAAGCCACATTCGAGGGCCTCTATTGAGACAAATTATGTTAACAAAAGAAATCCAAGAATGCTTTAAAAATTACTTATTCATCTATTGCATATCTTTGATTTAAATGTGGGCTGATAAAAAAAACCTTAGTGAAGCTATTTGAGCTTGGTAGAAAACTAACCTATCGGATAAGATTGAAACTTGGCAAGCCATCACATGTGAATCTACAGGTATGCATACCTTGCACAGAGATCATCAGATTGAGCCATGGAGTCTCACATGGTTCTCAGTAGTAGCTACTTTTAAAGTCTGTTATTGTCCTGCAGCTACAAGAGACAAATATAGGTCATTGTTTACTGCAAAAATGAGAAAAAAAAAGTTTGGAATTAACCTCAGACTCTGTATATTGCCAACAATCCTCAGTAACAAGTTTTACAACTGCAAACAACAGCTCTGCAGTTTTGTATTTCTTTCCTGTTTGGGGGGCAAAATGTCAGAGAAGTAAGGAAGGCAGATTCATAAGCCATTGCTCTGTTTCCAAACTGGAGCATGTTACTTGAGCATACAAGTAATAATATGCATGAGTCAGGATACAGCCATGTATCCAACTTCCCATGGAGAGTAACAACTTAACTGTTCTATGTCCTAACTCTTCTTTGGATGAGGGCTCCTTTCAGTTTTCTATATGACCATTGCAGAGGCTCTGTGAAAGCCTAGGAAACTGATTCTTCTGCACCCATTAAAAGCAGTGAAGTCTTTCAGTCTTATTTACACAGTACTGGCAGATAACCACAGCAGCCCAAATAAGCCATACACGTCAAATGTGTATGACTTACCAGTGCTTCAGCGGATCCCTACCTGTTAATTTTACAAACTCTTCTTCATGTATAGATTATAAATATGCTTTTAGTTTTTTATAATAGCACCCTAACAAGGTCAAAATCAATTTGGGGCCATCTCATGTGCTTACAGTCCTCTTCTTTTAAGGGGCCTACTTCCCACACATTTTAAGTCCTTTTCTTTGAAGAAAATCCTTTGTTACCTGAGATCCTAGTTACCAGGTTGCCTAGTAGCTGCCTTCTGTACTATGCTTTTCAGGACCTTCTTTATGCAGTCTGAAGTTGCAAAACTTTTCAGGAAATTCCCTAATTGTCTCTAGGCCATCTGGGCAACCAAGACCCACACAGTGGTTGTAGTGAGGTATTGGGAGGAAGTCTCCTGGACATCTCATCTTCCAGCTACTCATACCCCACCTTTGCTTACATATAGCAAAGATTCCTTTCTTGGACTGGAAGATGTTTCCTATGGATGTTACCAAGGACAGTGAGCACCTTTCTACAGTCAACAGAACTGAACAAGCATCAAATTGCCCACCCAGCACAGACTAGCCACTTACTGCATTCCCTAATGTTTACTCCAAGAGGTGAAGACCTCACTGACTTCTACTGCACATTTGCCTCTTAAGGAAGCTTGCCCATACAGCAGCTCTTTTTCAGCCCTCTGCTTTGTCAGCTTCCTCAGCTCATCTCATATGCAGCTGAACAACATCAATCTCATTTGAAACTGTAGCCCAGAAACATCTGTTTGTGTTCATATTTCACACAGTTGATTTCCTTACTTACCTAACCCATGCAGATACAAGGTGGCAAGACTTCCTATCATCAGAGTCTTGATGGGACTCCTTCTATTTAGATCTAATTTCATGGCCATCTGATGATATAAACTGTAAAACAGACCCTTGACACATGTCCATTTAGAGGCAGAAGAGACTGGCTTACAGGCTTCAGTTTTTATTTGTAACCCCACTATCTGAACCACATTCAACAAGATTAGAGGACCTTGCTCACAAAACTCCTTCAGTCCAGCCCAAATACCAAGGAAGAAACTTGCCAGGAAGGCAACGGGGAGATTGTAGGAGCGTACTTTGTCCTTTCCTGTCCATTGGCAGAGCATCATTGAACAGTACCTGTTGACTCTCACGAGATCTTGGGAAGCGGCAATGCTATGGGAAAGCTCCTTGGAGGCCTTTTCCAGTTCCTTTATATTTCTGCTTGAACTCATCCCTGTCCTCTTTTTCATATCAGCTGTCCACAGAATCACTTGGTTCTTCAGGTTTTCTGGGTTGGCCATCTGAGTTAACGTCTTAATACGATAGGACTGGGCGTTGCCAGAGTCTAAACAAGCACAGCCACCAAGGCTGCTGAATAACCCATCCAGACAGTCTGGGCATGGATAGCTGAAATGGGAAAACTGAATTCAGGTGTAAGGGAATTGGTCATGCAAGTCAATGCCCAAGACAGGGAGAGGATTATCTTAAAAGAAAACAGGGAGGGCCTGTTACAGTCATGCTGCATTTTTAACAAAAAGAAGTGGAGTGGGAAAGAAAGTGTACTACAAATCGCATGTAGAGACTGTTCACAGAAAAAGATGAACATTGGGTAGTGATGCATGATATAAAAGATAATAGTAAAGAAGGTGTAGGTAGGACTGAACTTACAGTACACAAGCAAAGCAAACAAAAAAGGGGACCATTACAATTCAGAAGGAGAGGTGACAGTGAAAAGGTCACCAACTGCAGAAAGATACAGTATGAGTGAAAAAATCCTTTGCCCGAAGGGGACACAGAGAAATATAAAGTAACAAGTGAAGTAAGAGAAGACAAAAACAGAACAGAAAGCAAGAGGAAAAGTAAGCAGGGGTCTTGCACAGATGGGAAAGAGGCATATAATCCAGTTAGGTCAAGGAGGGAAAGACAGATTTGAAAACCATTAAAGTGAAGAGAAAAGAAATACAGGAGTGGACAGAATGCTTGGGCAGGCAGAGAATTTTGAAAGAGGCATGGACTGTTTTGAGAACAAGTGTTTGGGACAGCAAACACTGTTTTGTCTGACAGCAGTTTAGGCAGGCCATGTGAGCAATGGGGACTGCGACTTGGGGTCACAGTGTGGGCAGCAGAGGAGCAGGGCAGTGTGAAGGGGAAGTGGACAACCAGGAATAATTACCTGCATGTAGGCACTGACAAGAACAGGCTGGAGACTTTATGGAAGTGCTAGCAGGTCTCAGAGCAAGAGACACCCTGAGCAAGACAGGATCCTTGGTGCAGGTGATAGAGGGAAGGAGAAAAGGTGCTATGCGAAGACAGGAGGGAGGGAATTGAGGGAAGAAGGTGTGCACAGTGGTGGTGAAGGCAAAGACACTAAGACCAGGCAGAGGTCTTAGGGCAGCTTGGCAACCAGGGCTCTGAGAGGAGGGGACTGTCCACATTGGCAGGAGGTGAGGGAGGGAGTTCCCCAACACCTAGAGCTCCATCTCAATGCGTCTACTAGCCCAAGAGGGTCCTGTCTCCCTTCCCCATCCTATATTTCTACATTCCCCCTCTCCTCCCCACTTTTCATTGCTACCCCTTTGCTGCAGGTTCCCCACTTCCAAGAGAGGGAGAGAGAGGTTGGGTAAGGTTTGTTGCTGTGTCAGGCCACAACAGCCAGGTAAAGGGAATTTCCACTGCTGCGGGCTTCAGTGCTTTGGGGAGTTTTGTTAAGGTTTTGTTTTCAGTTGTTGATTGGTTTACATGGCTCTGTTCAGAGCCCTTAAAGTATTATCAAGGTATGTCCCATTCTTTCTCAGCCTGTGATGCTGCCATCACTCTCTTTCACAGCCAGGGTACATAGTGAGGTTTTGGTCCTTTTTAGTTACTAAGGCCATTTTCCCATGTGCTGGAGTTGGACTATGCAGAGGGAATTCGCCCACACTGATTTTTAGGCACCAGCAGTAAAGGTAGTGGGCAAGCCCCCTAAGAAGCAGAAGAGATGAATTTGCAGGTACAAACAACTGCATACAGGATCCCAATATCTTTTTTCTGCTGTCTCCATCTGAGTTCAGGTCACAGCTAGAGCAACCCTACAGTTGGGATGTGGATGAAAAGATCTCTGCCTGCCTCTGCTACTAGTCCTAGCTAGACTATGTCAGCCCTAAGTGCTCTTCTGCAGCTCCTGTGATCTATTTTAAATATATAGTGTCATTTTTCTCATCTTCCAGGCTCGTATCTCCTGAGCACCAGTTGTTGCTCAGCCTGTGTCTTGGGTGAAGAGCACGCTTTACCAGCCCTAGCTCCAGGAGCATGCCCGTAGTGCAGGACCTATGATGCCATCTAGGTACTGCCCCACTCTTGGTGCTACAAGTTGGTGACATGGCAATCATTTATACAAGCGTTAGTCTTATCCTATATCCATAGTATATGCACATGACCTTAATCTGCTAGCTTTCTGAGGTTGTCTTAGCTAGCTGCTTGATCCCCTGCTGCAAGACAGGTATATAAAGAAAACTGTAAGGACAGCAATACCCATTTTCTATGTCACCAGGAAGGTAAAACAGCTGTAACCTGGGGAAGGTCACGGATAGTTCACTGCATGTAACATCTATTAATGTCTTCTCTTTTCATTAAATTTCTACAGTAATGTTAGCTTTGCACATCCTGCATGCACACAGCATCCATCACTGCCTCATATTGCTGTTTCTCTTTATGACAGATAACTGAATCACTAAAAGGAGATTACAAATGTTTGTTTCCAAAAAAAAAAAAAAAAAAGAAAAAGAAAAAGAAGCACAGGACATAAAAAAAACAGCCCCACAAACACATCCAGATCTAACCCTTCTTTTATATGGCTTGGCAGACTTGCTTTTAAAATAGTAGGCATTGAAAGAAAATCCTTGAATCCTTGATCTAATGGAAATGGGATATGAAAGTGATATCTGCAGGATCATGCGCTTTTAGAGTTTTTAAAATACTCCTGCTTCACACAAGAAATGGAAACAAGAAGCCACACAACACACTGTGAATGTGGAAGGGTTGTTATTTCAGTCTTATGGCCTCCCTTCATAAGGCACTGTTATACAGTTCTTTTCTGCCTCTTCCTACTTTTCAGTTATGACATAAAGATGATTCAAAAGGCCATGTAGTGAATCAGATGAGGGTTAGAAATGTCTTTTTTTGCTTAGAGTTTGGTTGTAGACAAACTGTTCTGTTAACTCTATTGAGAATGTAGCCCAGAGATTGGACTCAGGGAAGAGAGGAAGAATAAAGCCACTATGGCGATCAAAAGCAAAGTATGCAACCATGACCTAAGTAATGTTTCTCTTTTTTTTCAGGCATTAAAATCTTCATCAACTGTCAAGTCACTGCCTTATCTCCGTATTCCACATCCTTTATTTCACTCAATCCCAAATTACTGTGTATGAAGCCAGGTTTTACATGAAAATTTAGGATCAAAGAAAACAGGGTGCGTCCAACACAGCAGAGAGCCAAGTCAATGAAGTTTTCCTTATGGAAGCAGAGAACTCAGATTATTGGTTGCAGAGTCAGGGCATTCTAGTAGGAACCTTCTTTGAGATGTCTATGGAAAGAAAGAGCAAGAAAAGACAAAGTGCCTGGTGAACTTTTAGGAATCTAAGAGAACTTAGAGGGTGTCATCTTTCTGTCACTGAAATAGGCACTTCCAGTTTCATTCATATCATGAGATGCTGTAAGAACTGCACATGTGAAGAGTGTATGGGAATGGAAAAAAAAATAGATCTTTTTAATCTTCCATGGTATGCTAAGGCCTTGGTCGGCATTGAGGTTATGCCCAGGCTAGAAGCTATGCAATAGATTGCAATTGAACCTGCAGACCAAGAAGGCTCTACAGGACCTGATGGAATTAAATACAGATCAGAGGTGGGGTGCTTTGCTTGCTTACCACCAGTCCTCTACTTTGTGTCAGCTTTTCCACCTTGCAAGCTTGTTAAGGCTAAGCTGAACTGCAAGGGAAAACATACTCTCTTGCTGTGCGGTCATCTGTAGAAACAAAAGAGAAAGAGCAGTGAGCTGCAGAACTGTGTTGTAGGGTAGTGCCAGGCTTCCTACTCTTTAACACAACCATCCCACTACCTTAATTTTTTTTTTTTTTTTACCCTTCACACTGAGAATGCAGAACAGGAAAATATCTACATTGGGTCAGACCAGTGGTCTGTCTTTCCAACATACCTCCCATACAGCTGTAAAAGACCCCTGTATGCATTGCGATGCCTTCTAATACAAAGACATTTTTGTAAGCAGAGACCCTTTCATTGGTGTGTCCCAATAGCCTTGCTTTTTTTATGGATAATTAGTATTCTTATGTGAGATATCAATTTTTAAAATGTATGTACTAAACAGAAGAATTCTTTTACAGGATGGAAAAGTAAAGAGAGCGGGTGACACTATTTAGCTCTGTAAATGCCGGATTAAGAAGTCTTGTCATCTTCTTGATATAGCGTGGAAAGGGAACAAGAATAGAATTCACTATACAGCATGTAGGCCTTTGTTACTGCTTTCTGAATCTTCAGTGATAATTTTTCCATTTTGTTCTCAAATTATAAAAAAAAAAATAATAATTCTTAATGTTCCATCTGCTGTTTTGGCTCATACTGAGAGACTCAAAATAACTCCAAGATCTCTCTTCTTTGTGCTGGTAGTTCATTTAGAGCTTTAAAGGGTAAGAAATTATTTTCCTATTACCCTCTCAGTACACAATGGATAGTAGGATTTTCACACATGAAAAGCACAGAACTAAAATCTGCCTTCTGGTGGATCAGGGTGGCAGCATGTAACACTGATTTTAAATAAATTTCTAAGTATTTTCAAGAGTGCCAAAGAGCTAGAGGAAACATCCTAAATTGACAGAGAAGCTTTCTTTCCACAGAGACATAGCTTGAAGCTAGAGGAAGTGAAAAAACACAGTAATTTTGAACACATACACAGC